CCGATCTCAATAATATGTAAATAGTATCTCCTGAACGTTACTTCGTCAATCGTCACCTATAGCGTGGGAGCGGCAGTAGGCCATCAAGAACCATCTGCTGACCAAAAGGGTACTTGAATATAATTGCACCTTAACATTTGGTTGTTTCCACCTGAAAGGGTGGAGATATGGGAACGGAAGGCTATCACTTTGACACAGCACTGCATGAACAACATGACTGTAGCTCAGTCACAAGCAGATGCTGATGTGAATTGTAGGAATAGTTTTATGATAGTATTATATTTTAGAAAATATGTTTACTATCAAAAGGGGGGTGATTCTTTATCATTTTTGGGAAATGTGTTAATGGCATTAATATTTAAATTTAATTAATGAGAAATTATTGAATTGCATTCTGTGATAAAATTTCTGTAGCTTTGGTTTTGAATGTGAAGAGATTCTTGTGGGGGAAAGGGGGGGAAACCTCTTCTTTTTTATCTCGTTTCAGGTATTAAGCATCGAGGTGTTTGTTTGAAATGTGTTCCCTCCCGGAGAAAGATGATCCGGTCATCTGAAGGACTTCAAGAAGGCCAGCAGGGCCAGTGGAGCCAGGGGACTTCCACAAAGGGGACTGTAAGAAATTATAGTCTGCCTCGACCAAACTTCCACTCCAAGTAAACTATTCTCCTTTCTCTACGAAGAGCTTAATTATCATAGAGATAATTCTTTCTGATCTCAATAATATGTAAATAGAATCTCCTGAACGATACTTCGTCAATCGTCACCTATAGAGTGGGAGCGGCAGTAGGCCATCAAGAACCATCTGCTGACCAAAATTCGTGGTTCATTCTGACTCCGTTGAACCCAAGGTACTACATGTACTTTGTCACTGCTATGCTGCAATAAACATCTTCATCGAGATCTTCATCGTCTTCATCACTTTTTCTTACACAGTGCATGCCACTGTCCACAAGTACCATAAGCAGCACATACCTGACAACAGTGGAGGGTGGGGTGGAGGTTTTTCAGCAGGGCCCCCTTGCAACGTGTCTGGGCCCTCTCTCTGGTCTAGTGACCTGGGATCGTGCCTAGTAGGCCTGTGCATTGTACGCTTGTTATATCAGTAAGCCTGCCCACTCTGATCATGCAAATGAGCCAGCTTTCAAACAAAGACACTTCTTCCATTAAGTCTTTCATCCGAGACTGCATCCAAATGCCCATTCAACGGCAAAGGCAATGCAAGTATCTTACATTTGACTAAACTATCCAGAGGGTTATATACTAAGCTTTGGACCTCTTGTTACCAAGGTGCTGATGGTTCCTTCAAATGGTTAAACTGACTTGTAACTGTCCATTCCTCCCCTGTTTCACTTTGATTTATTCAGTCATTCTCACTTTTCTGTTTACCCTTGTATGAGTGATTGCGTGCATGTGTTTGTTTAAACTAGTTACTGTATGTGTTTGTGATTTAGTTAATAACACTTTGTGCAAAATACATATGAGTTCTCCAGTTCTGATTCTGCTTGCAGAATCATGTCACTTGCTACATGCTCTAATGCATTAGTACTGTAAGTAAGTGCCCTATTGAATGGTCTCTCCTGTTGCATCGCTGACGCATGTGAGGAAACTATCGACTATCGTCTCTAGGTGCTGATCTGGCTGGCTAGTCCATTTTAGAGTGGCCTTTTATTGTGGCCAGCCTAAGGCACACCTGTGCAATAATCATGCTGTCTAATCAGCATCTTGATATGCCACACCTGTGAGGTGGATGGATTATCTCGGCAAAGGAGAAGTGCTCACTAACACAGATTTAGACAGATTTGTGAACAATATTTGAGAGAAATAGGCCTTTTGTGTACATAGAAAAAGTCTTAGATCTTTGAGTTCAGCTCATGAAAAATGGGGGCAAAAACAAAAGTGTTGCGTTTAGAATTTTGTTCAGTGTATATATATATATATATATATATATTCTGTGTGGAGCCCTGGACCCCCTATTTGTGGCAGGTTTTCTCTATCCATGCAATGTTCTCACCTTTTTACCCCTTACCTGTTTGCATCCCTGACACAATGAACAGCGTTTACAGCAGATAATGTGAAGTCCAACTGAAGTTCACTCTTTTATATGTGTAAGTATTTCTGACATTAAGCTGTCATATACCAACTTGTAACATGATAAGAAAAAAACATCTAGTCATTTATTGAATGGTTAGATGAAGAGTCAACTCTCCTGACCCACCACTACTTTTTGGCAGATGATGTTCTGGATGTTCCAACTGTCAGCACTTAAGACTGATGCCAAATCGTGAATGTTTTCCACTCCCACTGCAGGATGTAGTTTGTAGAGAGGTGGAAACTGACTTCAGAGTTGTATAATCTGGAGTGTGCTGCATTAATGTGCTGTGGGCTGGTCCAGTAGCCTGGTTGGAGACAGGGGTGTCTGGAGACATGCTGCAGTACAGAGAGAGACAGAACAGCAGTGCAGACTCAGGGGGTCCTGCTCTGAAGGATGAGATTGATGATACAAGGGACTTCCTCTCTCTCTCTCTCTGTGTGTGTGTGTGTGTGTGTGTGTGTGTGTGTGTGTATTCTCCCTTGATCCATTTTTTTTTTCAGTCTTCTTTTGTTTTATTTTGTTCTTATGCCCAAGGAGCTCTTGAACCCCACAAGGCCGTCCAAAGTATTCACAAATCCAAACGCATATTTGGGGTCATAGCACTCACTGTCTTGGGGCCTGACTCGTGCAAAGTAAATAATTATTTTCATTTTGATGCTTTTGAGAGATGTGATAATGCTATCTTTTCCTGGAGGAATAGCACTGCCAAGGCTCTTTCATACTTTGCATATACATGTAAAGCAAGGTTTTTCTTTCAATCTGAGGAAGATTTAACCATTGACTTTACCAGCCAGGGATGTTTTTTTTCACGGATATCATTTGGAGAAGGAGGAAATATATTAGCAATTACAAGAGTAGAAAACATGATTTGGCAAGGTTTTCCTCTGCAGATGAACTCTGAAAAGGATATTTGTCAAATTAGGATTGGGTTAATTGTGGCATCTTGGCACATGCACCTTGTCCAAGAGATGGGGGTAAGTGTTTGTGATGTGGCTTCACCAAGCAAAAACAAAACTGGACATACATATATACAGAGAGAGAGAGTGTGTGTGTGTGTGTGTGTGTGTGTGTGTGTGTGTGTGTGTGAAAATTGTATAAGATTCTAATAAGATTTTCATACTTGCAACCCACTACCCACCCTGCAATCCACACGAGCTCTCTTAGCATCAAGTAAGAGTGTAAACCAAATCTTTACTTACACAGCATAATGTAAAGGTCTAAATCTGCTGCTAATTTAATTACTATGAATTAAATGAATAAAGTTTGTGTTGAAAGAATGTAATAATAGTGTGATATGGGATTCTCAGAGGAAGTACAGTATGAAATATTGTTCTATGCATACTGCCTCAAAGCATAACAGGAATGGATATGTATTTATTTATTCAATCATTCACTCATTCATTCATTTTTCATGATTTTCCACTGACAACACGCCGACAGACAAGACAGAGCAGTTACTTCTGGTATGAAACAAGGTCTCAGCTTTCAAATTTTGTCATTTTTTAAGAAATTAAAACAATAAATACCATTTTGTGGTTCTTTAATGTGTCATGACAGATCACTGTATTGCCTCAGTTCTAGCAGCACGTGAAGCGATCGTCTTTTCATAATTACTTAAAGCACGGAATAAATATGAATGAACATCAGAAAGTATTTTATTTCAACCACAGAAAGACATCAATACACAACTTTTTTTTTTAAAGTTTAATTCCCCTGAAGTTAATCTACTCTCTTGTCTGATTTGTTTGTCGGACAAAATGGTGGATTTGGCATTGTGATTGGTCAGATCGCCTGTCAATCAAGCTCCTTGTGAACGGTCAATATTGATCAAACTCAGTAAAAACATTATTAATAAATCATACTATGTACAGACAAGCAGAAGAACCCGTTAAGCATTTTCCTCCCATAGAAATCCGTTATAAGGAAAATGCATAATGTGGCTTAATGCGTTAAGACATTGTGTTTAAAAGACCAAACTCAGTATACACATTATTAATAAATCATACTATGTACAGACAAGCAGATGAGCCCATAATAAAAATGCAATGCGTTTAATTACGGGTCCAGCGTTTCCCCAATAGAAAATGTTATGAGGAAAATGTGTTGCGGTCGTATCCTGGACTCATCTGCTTGTCTGTACATATTATGATTTATTAATAATGTGTTTACTGAGTTACTAACAAAAAACAACAAACAGACTAATATATGTTTAATAATAATATGTTTACAGTATTGCTGTCAAATTATTAATTGCGATTAATAATCACATCCAAAATAAAAGCTTTTTGTTTACATAATATATGTTTGTATACTGTGTATATTTATTATGTATATATAAATACAAACACATGCATGTATATATTTAAGAAAAATATGTTATGTTTATATATTAAATAAATTTATATAATATAAAATATAAGAATATAAATATATAAATGTATATACATGTAAATATTTTCAAAATATATACTGTATGTGTGTGTGTATTTATATATACATAATAAATATATACAGTACACATAATATATTATGTAAACAAAATCTTTTATCATCGATTAATCGTGATTAATTGTTTGACAGCACTAGTTTACAGGTGTTTTACCTGTATTCAAAATATACAGCCCCCCACTTAAAGAGAATATTCAAGATGCTCCAAAACAAATAGAGTCCAGGAGGGTGTCGCACTGGAGGCTAACAAGGGGTATGGATGTGATAGGGCACAAAACTTTGCCATTGTCACTGGCTACGTTTACATGCAACCAAATAATCCGTTTGTAATCGGATTGACGGCTCAATCGGACTGAAAAGCCTTCATGTAAACACCTTAATCGATTCGATGGAGCTCGATCGGAATGAAATTTCGATCGGATTGAAGGGGGTGGTTTATTCCTTTTCTAATACAATTGAGAGTGCATGTAAACACTCGATCGGATTGAACCCCGAAACTGAAAGGACTGCACATGTGTAATGACGCAGAAATAGCGTAATGACGTATGACGCGCAGAACGAGCGGTTCTTCCTTTTGAATAAAGTGTTGTATAAATGCTTGTCCTGTCATTATAAAACTCTCCTTTCACTCGGCAACTGTGAAGTGGAGCAGGACAACCTCCCACCAGTCCTTTTTTTGGATTCTCATCCACAGGCAACCCGTTTTGCGCGCGGGGAGGGGTATTTTTACTGCGTGATAAATATGAGCAGCACGGCACAGTGGTTTGTATGTATATTTATTCATAAATGGATAAATATTAATTCTGCTGTTAAAAACAAATAAAGAAACAGTGTAGGAGAGTGGTTATTATGTGCAAACAGTGAGAAACTCTATATTTGTGCAGTGCGCGCATATCAAAAAAAATAAATTGTGATCAGAAGCTTACATATAAACGCGCACATCAACCCGATCACTTTATTTAGCGTTCATGTAAAGACTACATTCAGATTCATCCATCGGAATGAATTCAGTCCGATTGAACCAAAAATTGTGCATGTAAGCGTAGCCACTGACTTTACCACTGTGTTAAATGCATACAGCACACAAAATTGCCCAGCAAACACGTTAATGTGGGGCCCAAATGGTTTTTCCAAATAAACTTTGCTTAGAAGCTTGAAGTACTGGTTTCTGTTTATTGAATACCTTTACAATTTTAGTGGATTTAATGTAATGTTTGGGTTTAGGGGTTTAACGTAAAATAAGGTAACCCAAACAGACAAATATATTAGCCCATATGTATACCTGTTGTGGCCCATAAGAGACCTACATAAGACCTAGTTGGGTCCCATCTCTAACCCATGTAGGCAGGCTCATGTAGGCACCAAATGGGAGCTACCTGGTTAACCCATATGGGCCCTATATGGAGCCCATCAAGGGCCCATCATCAGCCCATCTGTGCTAACCCATGTGGGGCCACCATGGAAACTGAGGACAAAATTAGCTGGGTCCCAGTTGGGTAGCCCAGGTGGGCCCCAGATATCAGCCCAGTTGCAACCCCTATGGGCCCCACATAGGTGTGTTGGCTGGGTGGAAACACTTCAGGAGTTTCGAAGTCATCATCGGATTGGTTGAATTATACAGGATTTCCTGGAGATGTGTTTGTCACTTTCTTTAACGTTCCACCTGGAAACAAAGATTCCATGTAGAGGTTTGGTCCCGCTCCCGCAAGGTTCTATTCCGCACCCACCCGCTCCCGCTATGTATTCACTCTTTGTTCACCCGCTGTCCGCTTAGAATAATTTTCTTCCCGACCCGACCGTTCCCGCTAAATTTAGATCTCGTTTCCAGAATCTCACATTAAAATTTCCGCTACTGAAAGAAAGAGAGATAGGCTGACAAATAAAATTGTAGTCTGCACAAAATTGTATGTTATTTTCATAAAATGTATGTATGTTGTCTTGTCAAGAGTCTTGAATTTATTGACTTTGACTTGAATTTATATGAATTATCTTAAGACACAAAATTTGTTTAATATTTTATGCAACAGTAGGAAAAACGTGTCAGAGAAAATAAAAATGTTGTACAAAAATTGTATTATTTTTATTCGTCTTGTCAGGATACAATTAATTTAACATTGACAACACAATAGGGAAAACATGTCGCAGAGAGAAAATAAAAATAAAAATGTAGGTTGTACAAAAATAGCCTATTAGCTATTTGTAATCGTCTTGTCAAAATACTAAATTTGTTTGGCATTTTTCTGTTAACACAGTAGGAAAAGTGTCGCAGAGAAAAATAAATAAATAGGACATCTTTCATTTAAAATTATAGGCTAAGCAAAATATAAACAAAACCGAGTTGAACGTCCTTCGATGAAAGCGCATCCACACTTTGCTCCATCCTTACTCTGCTCTGTCACTCATCGACAACCTGCCTGTTCTGTCTGAGGGCCGTATATTTACCACAGGTACAGCCTGCTCTGAGCATATGCACATGTTGCGCACAGACCATGCAAATAAAACTCGTGACGTTTAAAGTAACAGTCCTGAGTGCAAGCTGTACCGGTGGTCAATAAGGATAAAGCGCAGATATGCTGTTATAAATGGATGTCGGGAACGGGATATTGTTAGACTGCCCGCTCCCGTTCAAATTGCACCAGAGTTACCGACCGCTACTGCGTTTTATTCGGGAATTGAATCCTGCGGCGCAAAAAATCCAGTCGGGTCCCGCGGGAATGCAGACCTCTAATTCCATGATGCCAAACCTCCTCATGGAAGAAGAAAGCCATCGTGTTTACAAACTGTGATGATGAGCGCTTATCAGGATCAGCTAAAGGCTAGATTTTCCAAAGTATGTGAAATATTTAAATTTCATGGCACCGAATCTTTAAAATATGTCCAAGAGTTTTACACACTGGTCTGTTATAGTAGGAACATTTCCACGCCCCTAAACATAACGCGGCACAAACCGAAACATGATTGATTGCTTTACCTGTCAGTCATATGACCTCTTGGGTGGGCCTTGGCCATTCAAAGCAGTCATGGTTCCCAGACCTTCTGCCATCTGTCTGAAGGTCCGGCTACGCAAGACTAGATTCAAAGCACTGATATTTGTCTACAGAACAACTACTGGCTTTGCACCTCTATATCTCAGCTCACTACTTCAGACTTATGCACCTTCCAGAAGTCTGCATTATGCAAGTGAATGGCGCATTGTGGTGCCATCCCAAAGAGGCACTTAATCACTTTCACGAACCTTTATCATGACTGATTCCTGCTGGTGGAATGGCCTGCCTAACTCTTTAGCATTTTTTAAGAAACAGCTAAAGAGGCATCTCTTCCATCCACACTTGACCCATTAATACTAGCACTTTCTGGTCTATTTCTATATATATATATTTTTACATAAAAAGTGCTACTTATACTGTATTAGAATAAATGGGACTTGGCACAGCATTTACATACTTTTGTCCATTTGTTGGTTTAATTGCTTCTATTGTCCTCACTTGTAAGTCACTTTGGATAAAAGTGTCTGCTAAATGATTAAATGTAAATGTGAACAGAGACCGTTCATATCTACTGTAGTGTTAGCCTGTGCTGATACAGGGGCTAGCTGAATAGCAGTCATATTTAGCATGACTTGGTTCAATAGAGTTTCCATAGTATCAGCTACTGAAGCGGCATAGCTGACCATGCTACTTTGTTACTGCTTTTGGCACTTCTTTATGAGCCGCTGGCGAGGCTCAGCCTCGCACAGTCATCAGCCAGTGAAATAGCGCATTTCTATACAAGCTTCAGACAATCATCACACCTGGGAGGTGTTCCCGTCAGCTACTGAAAGAGCTGACCAAAAGAAAACTCCTTGGTTTGAAAGTGGCTTCTCTGTGAGCTCATACATCTCTATTGAAAGTAGACAATGAATCTTTTATTTGCTTGGAAAATTTTGCTAATGTGACCACACCCAGCATGTGGGTTATTCTAAATTTATAGAACTAAAATTAGCTGTGGAAGTAACGTGCAAGTCATACACTTTTGGTGGTTTCACGTTTCACATGGTAACACTTTAGATTAGGGATCACAAATATTCACAACTAACTTTCCTTCAATAAACTATTTTAATATTTGCTGCTTATTGAAATCAAGTAAGGTAGTTGTTGTGTTGGTAATGTTTAGGTATTAGGTAGGGTTAAGGGAACTAGAATACACCCAGCAAGCAATTTTGCGTTTAAAAGACGTCTATTAGACGTCTAAATATAGCCTAGACGTCTAGGCTAAAACGAGGCTAAATTTGGGCTGTCAGTGAAAATTGAATAGATGTCTAATCATAGCCCATTTATAGACTAGTCATCAATTAGACGGCTATTAAACGACTACATATATACGTCTAATAGACGGTTAATATGGGTCTAGGCTAAAACGAGGCTAAATTTGGGCTGTCAGTGAAAATCTAATAGACGTCTAATGATAGCCCATTTATAGACTAGTCATCAATTAGACGGCTATTAAACGACTACATATATACGTCTAATAGACGGTTAATATGGGTCTAGGCTAAAACGAGGCTAAATTTGGGCTGTCAGTGAAAATCTAATAGACGTCTAATGATAGCCCATTTATAGACTAGTCATCAATTAGACGGCTATTAAACGACTACATATATACGTCTAATAGACAACAA